TCACTGCATGGTACCCCGACACGTGAACATGCGGGGAAAGCTGGCCTGCAGGCTCAGTCGTCGCGCCGGCAATTCAGACACGTAACGGACACTATAGCGTTCGTCGCAACCTCCAGGTGGCAGTCCAGCCGTAGCCGTAGTAGCTCGTGGAAGTGCCCGTTAGGGGCGGAAGTACCGTGCGGACGAAGCGTCTCACTTGGCGTTCAGTATATAGGAGGGCAAGGCCTGATCGGCCCTCAGTTCTCAGAAGGAAGGTGTGATCGGTGGGCCGTAAGGCGAGGGTGCGTGGAAAGCCCCTGAGGATGATCGGAGCGCAACCGATCGAAACGCGTCGGGGAATGTGCGCGTTAGCTGAGATGAGTATGCGCGGAGTTGTAACGAAGAGCTTTTGATGCGTGTACGAAAGGCAGTTGGCCACTGTTTACCACTATTCTTCTTCTTCTTCTTATTATTATTATTATTATTATTATTATTATTATTATTATTCTTATTATTATTATTACCGTCATGTATCCGTCGAACTGCTTCGCTTCGACAACACGAGCGATCCGCAATGCATCCTTAGCGATCGGATCCTTGCATTTCTTGCAAGCTGCTCGCCCAGATTTTGCATATTCCGCCTTGAACGGCTTTGGCTTAGCGGTTTCCATCTCCCGGTGAAGACCCCTCTTATTCCGCCTGCGCGCCCGAAATAAGCACCACCTGCAACGCTTGACACTTTACGCTTTTAGGCCATGCGCTCGAAAGAGTCTGCTGCTGCTAGGTAAAGGTAAGCTCGTAGGCAATGCGCTCGAGCCTCCTCGTGTCGTTGGGTTCTCCGCCTTGATGGAAATGAGCGTGCCAATGCTCACTCCTCTCTCCTCTTTTCTTATTCTCCGCGTTGAACCGCCTTGCTTTCTCTCTCTTCCTTTCCCTCTTTCCTTTTCCACCTCGACACAGATTCTCTGCACTTGGTTCGCCTCTGCCAGCGACCGATATCTGCACAACAATCTGCGGGCACGCACTTGTGAAAGAAGGATGGAAAAAAATGAACGCGCCTGAGGGTACGACAACCATCAGTCCATCCCGACCTTACCCCCATTCGCCAAATTTCGAAGCAAAGTCGACGGCGCAGCCGAGGAGTTTCGACAGCGTCGGAGTAGCAGGCTCGGGATTGAACAACTTTCAGCAGGAGGTGTCGAGAAGAATTCTCTTACAACGTGCAAATTTTATTCCTGTCTCCGACTTCAACAGCCTGTGTGGCGAAGAGGAACTAGTGGTGCGGCGAGGCCCTCAGTCTGAATTATCCGGTTGGTTCAATGATGATGTTTTTGTCTGAATTATCCGCTCGGTTCAATGATGATGTTTCTATTTTATTTTTTTAACCACTAGTACCTCCGAGCCTGTTTTTGTCGGATCCTGAATTATAGTGCGCGCCAAATTTGTGGAGCCTGTGTCCCATGGTACCTATAGAAAAATTATTTATTTTCGTTTTCTCGAAACCAGTAATGTTTCCACTTCCGGTCTGTCGGCCTCCTGTACCGACCGACCAACGGACAAACTTTAGGGCGGGGTCCCCATGCTTGGTTTTAGAATGCCAGGCCCGTTTTTTATTGTAAGGTTGCATGTCGGTTCGCCGGCGACCGGTCCTGTGGATTGGATGGCGGCGGTCGTTCACACGGTTGCCGTCGCAAGCAGCTTTTGCCACATCCCGACCTCGGATTGTGTGTGTGTGTGTGTGTGTGTGTGTGTGTGTGTGTGTGTGTGAGAGAGAGAGAGAGAGAGAGAGAGAGAGGGAGAGAGGGAGAGAGAAAAGATAGAGATAGAGATAGAGATAGAGATAGATAACGGACATCTTCTATTCCCGACGATTGGTCGTAGTGTGTGCATGWCGWCATGCACACACTACGACCAATCGTCGGGAATAGAAGATGTCCGTTATCTATCTCTATCTCTATCTCTATCTCTATCTTTTCTCTCTCCCTCTCTCCCTCTCTCTCTCTCTCTCTCTCTCTCTCTCTCTCTCTCTCTCTCGGGGGGTAGTGGTGGTTTAAACGATGGTTGTTGACGCTGAAGCACCGCTATTTGATAATGTCTTCTCTAAAGTATTACTACTTGAGAAATAAGTTATTCATTGAGAAAATTTTGCCTTTTTATGAGGTTATCAGGGTTATAGTTATTTCATGTCTTGTGCAAATTGAGAAAAATTAATATCACAATGTTGTATATGTCCAACGTAACTCGTTCAAGGTGCACAACATCTTAAGACTAAAAAAATGTTCAATGTCTAAGGGTTCAATATTCAACAATGTGAAAGAATGCTCTACTTTTAGTGAGTCTTAGAAGTAGAGATACCTTACTTTTTTTTTTTTTTTTTTTTATCAGAACAGATACTACACTTGATCTTAGCCAAAATACCTGATTTTTTTGACAATGATAGATTGTGAATGAGTAAATAAGACTTGAGGATATTAATTAATAATCATGAAGACCATATTTTATAGTTTTAAGAGTTCACTACATCCTTACCATTATAATTTAATATATCTAACTTGATTCATTTTTATGAATTATGTGTATTTGCTTATTTTTATAAGGTTTTTTTCGATAAAATTTGCATCGAAATTGTCATATTGTGCTGCTTTTTTGCTTTTTTCCTTGTTTTTCTTTTTGTGTGCCGTATATGTGTCTTAGGGTACGTTATGTGTCCAGTTGTTAGATGTTTTGATCAATAATGAAAAAATTGGCATTTCGTTAAATTCGTTGGACGCTTCATTTGAACTCGGACAATGTTTTGTGTTGGATTTTTATAATTTTTATTTTTTTTTTCCACGTTTTCATTGGCTTGTTTTTTTTTTATAATGTTTGCATTATTAACCCATATCGTTTGCTTTTGAATTTTTGGATGAATTTCGCACCAACATTGTCAAAGAAAATGGCAAATATTTTGTCTCCAATTAACCATCTCTCATTTTTAGTTGCTTTGTTTTAATTATTTTATGTTGTCCTAAGTCATGCAATAGACTACTATTGTTGATTTATTGCTTAATTGACTTGAAATTTAATATCATCAGTGTTGTCAGGACGAACGTACAGAGGCCCCTGAGCTGACCCCCGAACATTCGGACGTTCGGATCCCCGAACTTAAAAGGGTTTGAACCTCGCCAATAATTATTTTGACACCTAAATTTTTTTTTTTTTTTCTGATTTTTTTTTTGTGAGTTCTTTGTGATGTAAGGTATATCCCTCTTAATTTTAAAGTTATTCTGTTCAGCCCCCCCAAAAAAAGAAAAATCGGCAAAGATGGTGGTGTCAAAACTTGATGTATGTCCCTCTTAATTTTGAAGCTATTATGTTAAAAAAAAAAAAAAAAAATCAGCAAAGATGGTGGTGTCAAAACTTGTTTGCCCACTCACTAATTTGTTTTTTTTTTTCTTTTCACTTTTTGTTTTTCCTTTATTTCGGGGCAAAAAAAAAATTATTATTTTTTCAAACTTTATTTGTAGATTCTCTATTATGTAAGATACACATACATAAATTTTCAAGGCATTTGACACAGTCAAAAAAAAAAAGAAATCACCAAAGATGGCGGTGTCAAAAACGTGCTCGCTCATTCAATAATTTCATTCTCATTTTATTGTTATAATTTTCATTATTATTATTTGTTTTTATTATTTGATTTTTATTTCAAATCTGGTAAAGAATTTGGATGTAACGTTAGGGCAAATGTTGTTTAGTTTATTCTTCTGCATAACATATAGTTTTTGCAGAATTTTTGGATTGTTTTTTTTTTTTTTTTTTTTCTTCCGCGTTCGGCCAAACGGCCGAACGCGTTCAGAGGAGGTGCCGAACGTTCGGGCGTTTGGCCCGTCCCAAACGCTGACAACTTTGAATGCCATTCAATTTAAAGTAATTTGAATGCGTAAGTTGTTATTTTATGGACATATCTATTGTAGTAGTGCGTGCTGTTTATTGAATTATTTCTTGATAAGAAGGGAAAAAACTTGAGTTTTGCCCACTACGGTGTAACAATATGGTGAAAAACCAGTCATGACAACTTAGGCTTCCTTAAAATTTTTATTACTAATAGGGTTACCGTATAGATGAGATGCACATCTGTGTATATCATCATGACACTAATGAAACTACTAGTAGCGACACTGCCAACAGTAGTGAGAATGTTATTGGTGGTGGTCTGACACTTAAGTTTACACCCATTTTATACATGTCAGTATTCAAAAAATCAATTTTGACAACAAAAACGTCTTTGAAGCTTTTACATTGCAAGACTTAAATGTATTTCTTACTAATGTTGGATTTATAATTCTCATGGTCGGTTTAGGGTTATTTGGGCCTTTGAAGGGATGTTGAACGCATAACTGCGTTTTCGTTAAAATTGAGTTTGTTGTTTGACAATTCGCAATTGAGTGATCGGAAGTGGTGATATGGGTTGTTTTATATGATAAGTGGTAGTGCAATGAATGATTACTCATTTTCAAAATTGACCCTTATCGATCAGGTTAAACGACCACTTAAGGTTACTCAAGTGCGAATAGCAAAATGAAAAAAAACCTAGACAATCAGAGTGGTCCGGGAGCATTTGCTTTACCGGTCAAAAAAAACATTGAAAAAACAAAAAATATTTTTTTTTACTTCAATTTTTATTTAAATTTGGTAAGGAATATCAATTTGACAGTTAGGAAAAAATTGTTCACCTTATGTTTGTGCATTAAAAAAAAAATTCAGGTTTTTTTTTTTTTTTTAATTTTCTTCGGCCCTTGCACGACCGAGGCGCTCGGGCGAACGGGGTGCCCCGAGTGGCCTGACTGGTAGCCTAGAAAAAAACACAATTTGAACGAAAACGCAGTTGCATGTTTGGACAGTGTAAAAAAATAAGATTGTCATATGATATATTTATAGTTTTTAAAGATTAACTTGAGGGATAAAAAATATATATTTTTGTTTGAAATGACAAAGTTGGCACGATCAAAGAGCAAATAGACGTCATTGTTCTTATGTGCATATTGTTCACTTTTACCATCAATGTCTTTGTATACGCAATTTGACCGGGCATAAAAAAAATAAAACCTCAAAGAGGACGATAATGTATGTTAGCAGTTGTATTATTAAATATGTGTTTGACTTTTATGAATCTAATGAAAAACTTCACTGCATTTCCTCCTCGTCCATTGAAACTGTCGACCAAGTTAGGAAGATTGTCAAGTGAACAATGTTGAATTAGTCTGACAATCACATTCTAGGTTTGAACCAATTTTTCCTGCTTAAGGGACAAACAAAAAAAGAGGCAAGAAATAGTTGAAAACAAATCACTCAACTCAGTAGTACAAAGTCGACATGGTTTTTCAGTTGAAAAAATAAAAGAGATAAAAAATAATAATATTTTGTTGATGAAATGCAACACACAAGAAGAAATATCAGACAAATGGGAAAGACAGTGAGACAAATCACATAGCAACTTTCAAAGATCAGATGACAAAAAAAACACTCAGTATTATCATGAGACAAACCATAATCGAGTATATAGTGTATTACCAGAATCAAAGTGGTAAGACGATCAACACAGTTATGTTATTCGAGACAGTTAAGCAAGCCAGAGAGCTCATCAATGATTAACATTGATTGTCATACACATGAGAACAATTCAGTCATTTCCGGTTTATGGATCAGTCTCAACTATTGCTCCCAATTATGTTTTTCATTACCAA